GAAAAAAATAGACAAACGGACAAAAAGTATGGATAAGCAAGTCACAGATGAAGAAAACTTCCCAATGAATATTAGGAGATTTTCAATCTTACAAGTGATCAGGGGAGTCCAATTTAAAACATAAGACACTGTTTACATTTATAAGATTGGCACAAGTCAAGAAGAAAAGTTATAATATCTTATAAAATAAAAATAAAAAAAACCTTATGAAATGGAAAGCATACAGATCCAAGAACATAGTAATTCCCCTCTAAAGTGTACCCTAGAGAAAGCTGTGCACATATGTCCCAGTGGACATGTATGCAGTGGCTGCTACAGCATGGTTGCAAGAACAAAACTTTAGAAACTTAAATGTCAGCCACTAAGAGAAGGGATAGGTGGTAGCCTAGTTCTACAATGGAACACTGTGTAACAGTTAAAAGGCGTGAACTAGGTCTCTGTTTATTAATATAAGTATATCTCAAAAATGTAAGGTTGAATGAAGTACATGCTGCAGAATGATCCAAGATGATAGTATTCATGAAAAAGTTTAAATTCACAAGCTACATATTAAAATATGTGAAAAGCAATAATAGATGTCCTAGAAAGATAGAAATAAAATTCATGTTGAGATTGCCTTTGAGGAGGTAAGAAGGGCAATGAGAATGAATACATCCGCAAAAGAGGACTTCAACTTTATCTGTAGAGTAAAATATCTGGAGGATGAAAATATTAACAGTTTCAAGGCTAGGAGGTGAATAGTAATGCATCTTTTACATCATTCTCTGTACTTAAAAAATACTTTCTAAATGTACTTCTATCCTATATAGTCTAATAAGCAAATTGACCAAATGGTGGAACACCTGGTGGAACAACTGGTCGCTATGATGTACCCTGACCACCGGGGGCAGACGCTCGATGCAGGAGCTGCCCCCCAGCCCGCATGCCCCAGGCCAGCCAAGGGATGCAACTGGCAGTGGCAGCAGTGGGAAGGGCCGGCGAGCAGGTGGCACCAAGCTAGCCTCGGCGAGTGCCAGTGGGGGCCCCCTGATTGCCTCGCCAGTCGCCCCACAGATCAGCCCTGATCACAGGCCAGGCCTAGGGACCCTACTTATGCACAAATTTTATGCACCAGCTGGTAGCTATGATGCACACTGACCACCAGGGGGCAGACGCTCAGTGCAGGAGTGGAAACCACAGGCCTGGAAACATGGAACAGACTGATGAATGTCAGAGGGAAGGGAGGAGGAGGGAGGGGGGGAAGAGATTAACCAAAGATCTTATATGGGGTCCCTCGGCCTGGTCTATGGGGATCAGGCCAAAACCAGCTCATCAGACTTTCCCCGAAAGGTCCTGGATTGCGAGAGGGCACAGGTCAGGCTAAGGGAACCCACCAGTGCATGAATTTGCACAGCGGAACTCTAATAAATAAAATAAAACAGTTGCCTTGGTCCTATAGAATTGCAAGAGGTTGACCATGAATTTGGCTTACAGCTTAATTATTCCTTTTATTACTCTGTTTAGTTGTTTTTGTTTTGTTGTCAGGACCAATATTAATAGCTCATCTACAATCTGATAAAAGTCTTTCTGCCATCTTTCAAAATGCCTTTCTCACACGGACATCTTTTGACAGTCATTGACTGCACTATGGTCAACCAAAATGCTATCCCAGTATGGTTGGTCTTTGCCATGGCCCTGCTCAGCACAAGACTTAACAACAGTCACAAAACCTGTCTTTTCTTTACCTACAGCATCTCTTCTAATCACAAGTATCTGTGCTTATGCAGGTTAATAAAGTGGGTTCTTCTTCATGTCCAAAATCTTCCTAAGAACTGCCTATGAAAATTCCATGCCAAACACCAAGGTTAATCAAAGCTCAGTCAGGCAGTTAAACATTCATTCACACATTCACAGCAACAGTGAATTTTATACTTTTTCTTTCTTCTCTTCTCTTTGTAACAATTTCTTCTTCTTCCACAGTTTCTCTTTCTCCTCTTCCTTTTCCCTTCTTCTGGCAGAAATTTCCATTTCCAGTCGTGCTACCTCTTCCTGGTGGGCTCGATATTGAAGAACCTGAAATAGAAATTCATCTCAGTAACTATTCACACTCATGTGATTTTACTAATCACAATGAGACTAGGTTCTGTAACAAGCAGATGTCAAAGTTTTTCCAAATACACATTAAAATTCTGTGTGCACATGAGTGTGACACGTGTGCAATATGTGTGTGTGCTTTAGTGTTAAAAGGAGAAGGCAACCTTAAAATCACCTCATTCAGAGATTCTTCACTTGGATTCATGGAGTAAAATCCTAAAGATGCTATGAATTGACTTAAAAGGACCTATGGATTCTCATAAATAGCATATGAAAATTTCTCTTTTTGCACAAGTGTGTTTTTCTGAAGCAACAGTTCCAGCTTCTGTTCAACAATTTTTTAAAAATCTCAAATGGTCCTAAGGTGCTAATAAGTTTAAGAACCACTGATTATTTTATCTTCTTTATTTTATAAGTGAGGAAAATGAGCCCAAAGGAGGATGAAAAAAATTGTTCAAGATATTTAAAAGAACTTTTGGAGTACTGATGGGTATCATTGGTAGAAATAAACTGCTACAGCACTTATTGGGCAATGTGTATCATAATATAACATATGTATAGACTTGGACCCACATCCCACTTTTAGGAAGTTATTCAAAGACAATTCGACAAGTGCACAAAAATGTACCCATTGGAACATTCACTGCAGTGCTGCTTAAACACAAAAATTGGAAAGAGCCTAAGTGTCTGGCAATAGGAGACAGCTTAAATTAATTATGGTACCTTCACTCAATGACTGCCATTGAAAAGGATGCTTTTTATCTATATTCACTGACATAGAAAATGCCCACAACATATCGTTAGGTGCAAAAAAGCAGGTGCAAAACCACTTTACAGTGTGATCTCATTAAAATAAATATCATACATGTATCTACACATAGAAAGAGATTTTGAAGGGGGCTATCTCTGAATAGCATTATTTCATGGAATTTTAAAAATTTATTCCTTAAGCCTGTCTGTGTCAAAGGATATTTTTACAATGAACATGTATTGTCTTTGTAAGCAACAAACCAATGAAACTAACAAATAAAATCAAACCATTACATGTTCCGTGGACACATGTATCTAAGGAAGCAGAGAGGAGGGAGATGGAGAAATGTGCAGAATTTTTTTTAGTAAAGGAGGAAACTAGCATTCCCAACTTAATACCTTACATTATATATTTGATATAAGCATGACTCATTATGGTAATACATAAAATGAAAACTGAATAACTAAAATGTCCTAAAATATGATGAATTAAAGTGACTAAATAGTTAAACTCTTTTTGCACTTTAACTATTCTAAGTTTGTTTTCTAAAAATATATTTGTCCTATATATCAAAATAACCAAAAAAAAAAATCAGACTCTTGGTTTTGAGACACACTTAGGTTTTCCTATCAGCTGCCAGTCTGCCCATCACATTTACATTCTTCTTTGGAAATGCATGCCTAGAATAAGATCACCTGTGCCTTCTGTCCCGACCTCCTGCTGCCAAACCTTTCCTTCCTGTCACCCACACGCTAGCTTAAGCATGCTGTGTCACAATCACGTGTCCAAGTGCTGCTAGTGATCTCCCTCACAAACACCTGCAGGACAGCCCTCAGTCCCCTTTCCTAAACCTCCTGGTGGTACTTAACCCTGCTAACCATTTCTTCCTGTTTAAAACTCTTTCCTGCACAGGTCATACATTGTCTCCATTGCTTCTCCACTAATGGATACTACCCTTTCCTTCTTCCTGCTTCCTGAGCCCACCTCCCACCTGCAACTCTACTGCTATCCTTTCTCATTGACCTCAGCCTCTCTATGGTCATTATTTGACGTGCACATTCTCACCTATGAGTTAACCTATCATTTCTGTGTATCTGACCTAAAATGTATTGTCTTTTTGTCTGCAACCCCATCCTAACAAATATGTAATGCCTTTGCTATTTGTATGTGCACCCAAAATACAACATTTTCAAAGTGAAACTCAACATCTTTAACTTGGCTACAGCTTCACACTAAGCCCTGTGGGCTTGCCTCTTCTTTTATTATTATTTTTTTAAATAATATTTTTATTGATTTCAGAGAGGAAGGGAGAGGGAGAGAGATAGAAACATCAATGATGAGAGAGAACCATTAATCGGCTGCCTCCTGCACACCCCCTATGGGGGAGTGAGCCCACAACCCAGGTATGTGCCCTTGACCGGAATCGAACCCGTGACTCTTCAGTATGCAGGCCAATGCTCTGTCCACTGAGCCAAACCGGGTAGGGGCTGCCTCTTCTTTTAAACATCCTGTTTGTTCTGTGGAACCACAAGTATCTCTATAGTTTGTAATTTTTTTTATTATGTACACCAATCAACATGACTAATTCTTTACATTTACGTCTGACTTAGGCAATCTTATATTTAAGTTCAGACGAGCTTTTACTTATGACAACTCAATTTCTAAACTATTGAATTTCCATAGGTCACTTCACTGTAATTTTCTAGACTACCCAGTCTACCTGCTAAATGCATTCAGAACAATACCAAAAAGTTCAGGAGGTTACATCAATTTCTCCAATCAGAACTGTAATAATTCAGCCTTCTCATTGCCCCCAACAATGTCCCACACTAACCTAGCTAATGTGTTATCTCTAGGTAGGTTTTGTTTTTCCTTCACCTTCCCTTACTGCTCTTAGTCTCACAGCGTGGTCCATACTATTTCCTCACCGGGAGTGCTCTCAGTTTCTCCCTGTTTCATAAAATGCTTCTTGGCCTGCACATGCCGCATGTCTTCCATGAAGCATTCTCCAACCCACACTCGTCTCTCTTTTCTTAATCGTTTTACTATTCCATAATTTCTCTTGACTTGTTTTGAGCATAATGCTTCTAGTTCTATTTAGAACAGGGTCCATGATATATATGTATTTTTATCTTCCCTTTTTACTGTCTTGCAAAGTGCTAGCACATCATAGGTACTCAATAATTACCTATTTGTTTACCAAAATAAAAATGTTTTAATAAAACCTAATAAATGAAGAAGAGATTATGCCATTAAAATATATTATTTTGAAACATCTAATCAAATAATGGGTCATTCATGATCACCAATGGCTACTAAAAACTGCACATTAACAGCTGAGGGGAAACTTTATAATGGTTGGGTCAGAGTGGCAACAATTGAGGACACTAAACAATTTAACATCGCAGAAAAGTAAGTATCTTGATGCTTACATATTGGCATCTTGATGGAGGTAAATAACATTCCCATAAACTTTTCTTGCCAAAAAATAAGAAGGAATACAATCTAACTTCTATATCCATGGGTCAAGGTACAGGAAATCCAGCCAAGGGAGAAACACAAAATGACAGTATGGGGATGCAGTCAGCAAAAACTGAACCCTGAAAACTTTAAAGGACTTTGACAAATTACAAGAAGAAATAAAATAAGGAGAACTATGGATTAGAAGAGATTTAAGAAACATAGCAACCAAATACAATGTAATACATGGGTCCTATTTGGATTCTGATTTAAATAAGCCAAATGTGAAAAGAAATTATAAAACAACTAAGATTTCAATTTTGATTAGTTCATTGATGCTATTAGGGAAATATTGTTAAAGTTTTTAGGTTTGATTATAGTATGGCTATGCTTTCTGTAAGAGTTTTTCATTTTGAAATACTAACAGATGAAATGATATGTTAGAGGATTTGCTCACTATTAATCAATCTATGGGCCTGGGAGAGTAGGTAAAGGTATAGATGAAACAAATTTCACTAATGAGTTGATGATAATTGTTGAAGCTGATACAGACTTTTGTCTATGTCTAAATGTTTCCTCACTAAAAACTGTATTTTTAAAAACCACAAAACATAATGTATGTCCAAAGATATTTGTATAATCAAATACTGTAGTCTCAAGGTTCTCAGAGAGTAGGAAGAAAATTTGAGATGCAGTGAACTAATGAAAAGAAAAATAGCATACATTTGGCCTTTCTGAGTACTGAGATTATTTCTGCAAATTCCAATAGAAAGAAGTTTGGGCTTTGGAACTATTCTCTCACCTTTTGATCTAAGACTAACTTATGGGAATTATAACTAAATAACCTTTGCATAATGTAAAAATGCCAAAGTATAAGTAGCCATCTGTGACTGGAGAAGATTTCTGTTTCCAATGGCAAATATAGCAAGAGAATTACCAGACAAATAAAACTGAGATAACCCAGTTTACCCACCAATTTATCTGATTTACCCTCCCTCGTCATTTGCACGTCTAAATGGTATTTCTCCTGTTCTCCAGAAAATATAAGACTATGGCTATTTTTTTAAATGGGCACAAACACCATAAATGAAACAAATGCAAGTTCAGCAACCAAAAGCCAGTGGGTTGTAGCTGCCAACCAATATATGAAATGCTTGGAGCGGGGAGGGGAGGGACTCTTGGGCAAGTCAGCATCAGCCTTTAGACACTAAATTGCTTCCATTTAATATTGGAATCATGAGAATGGTCAGGGACCCTGAGAGATTTGACTGAAATCAATTACTCAAACATCATCTGTAGTTACTACCATACCGCCCCCAAAATGTGAGGAGTAAAAGAGAAAGGGTTGTTGAAGCTGGCATTGTATCCCAAGTAGCCAGAGATGTGAGATCTTGACGAGAAACATGCTCTGCAGCAGTTGGTATCCAGGCAGCAAGGTAAATGGGGCTTTTCAAATTGCACAATGGGGACGGTCAAGAATCTAGTGGGAAAGGGGGGGCCATTGAGAAATCCTTAACCAATGGCTGCCCAGAGAGGCAGCCAAGGGCTTTGGATGGCCCCCATGTGGAGAGAATGACAACCGATTATGGTATTTTTGAGATGCCCAAGAATAAGAAAGCTGGCAGGTGGGTGAAGAAATCAATATTAGCACAATAGGCTAAAGCACAGAAGACTTCTGAGCAAACAATGAGCAAAAAGGAAGAATAGTCTGAAGGACCTTTTAGTGGTTTTATCTTAAAGTGTTGGCTAATTATATAGCTTTACACAG